GCAATAGCACTGCTCTCTCTTAATGGGAGTACACAGAATTTCTGACACTTATGTGTATATGGGATCAAAACTCAATGTAGCACAGATTTGCCAGGGCTTTTTATTTTAACAAACCATTGTGCTTTTTTTTGTATTATTTTGGTGGTGGTGGAGAAGATGTGGAACAGAAAGGATCAGTGGCATTGCTAAAGGTGCTTCCACAAAGGGCAGACTTTCTGAAAAGAGAGGTGTGTGCTGAGCCTCTGCTGGCAGGGAACAGGAGGCTGGGACACTGCTGATGAGCCTCCCTCTTTGTACCACAGTCCTGACAATCTGCATTAGCATCTGTGTTGCTGTGGATGATGTTTCCCTTTTAAACTATTCGTTTGCTGCTCAGAATATCAGTCAGAGCAGAGCAGGGTTTCTTAACTATGCAGGTTATGCAATCATTCATGGAATATTTTCTTAGCATGTACTGTCCTTAAAGGATTACTAAATTGCTCCCATGATTAAAACCAAAATTTAATAAAATTTTTTCTATGTGTCCTTTAATGGAAAAAATTGGTTCCCCTAGTACAGACCTTGACATAAAACTGAGACATACGTATCTCTGGTATATATCAAATTGTGGATCACAGTAAGTACTTCATGCATCCACTTTTCAAGCAAAGAGATAAATTATTATTTCAGCATGCTTTTGTACCTAAAAGGTATTTTTCCGTTTCTGTGATTTCCATCATTTTCCAGATGATATGCTCAAGACTTAAATTGCTTGTCCTCCAAAATAAATTCAGAAGAGAAATATTGTTAGAAGCATGACTTATTTTCATTGTCATATGCAAAATTAAGATAGTGGGAGTAATATTCTAGATGGACAAATATTTTATCCACATCTTATTAAAGGTAAATTTTAAATGCTTTAAAAATAATTAGTGAATACTTCACAAGTTTAATAAATTTTTATGAATGACAACACTGTATGTTCCAGGTAGTTAGGTCAAACATATTAATAAACGATTAGTTAATTGTTAATGTTTATTATGAAATGAAAGTATTTTCAAAATAGCATATTAAATAAATAAGTCATTCCAAAGTAAACATAACATAAGGAAAAACAAGAGGTGCTGAATAACTAACACAAAATATTAAAAAAACCATAGTGTTGTTCTGGATCAACACTGTTTACTTTCTACATTAGTTTAAAAACAAAGTCAATTAAGATGAAAAGAAAGAAGAAAAGGAATCCATGAAGAATAAATCTCAGGTACCCCAAAGTGAATATGATACTCATATTCTCTCTGCCCAAGAAAGAGAGCCTGGCTTCTTTATGCTTGGTATGGCTGGAAGGTAAAAGGACACAGTTTTGCCTTTTGAAGTACAAAAATGCTGAAATCTCCAGGGATTGTGTAAGAAGCAACACCTAACCTCCTGGGACCAGGCTAATGGTTCATAATCCTACCAGTAGGGCTGACACCTGAGCCTGCTCAGAAAAACTCACCAAAAATCCTCCCCTGCTTCTGCATTTAATCATCCTGAAGTACTGAGATAAACACTTAGTCGAGGATCAGATTTAATGTCTGAAACGTATGGCAACTTATTCTTCATTGGACAGGTGATTGGTCTGCTCTTTAAAAAGAGATGCAATATTTAGAAAAAGCCTTCTTTCCTGTAGTTTTTGAAAGGTTAGAACTCATACACAGTACAAGGGGTCCTGGGCTTAGCATCATCCTTGGCCCCTTTCACCTCCCCAAGTAGTGTCCTCCCCACCAGGGTGCCTAGACTCCACCTCAGCCCCCCAGCCCATGGCATATCAGAGTTGTGCATGGCTGCAATTAGTTCTATACAAATATCTCCCTTCAGCAGCACAGCTCCAGCCTTGGATATCTAACCTCAGAGCAGCTCGTGAATTTTGTGTTAGGGAGTATCTGGAAGGGAGCAGGGGCTGGAAGCCTCCCAGGACAGCACTTTTGGAAAGGAACTGAATCATATCCCGTTTTGTTTGATATCTCTGCAGCCCTATGAATTGTGCATTTCTTTCCTCACAGTGGCACAGCTCAGCGAGAACTCCCACTGCAGTTTTGCTTTGAGCCTGGTTGCTAGGAGATGGCAGCTCTGAGTTCAGGTCCCACCTTCACCACAGCCAGCATAGCCCTTGCATCCCAAATTTTCCGCCTCTTCACCATGTACTGCAACAAGGAGACAGAACTCTGGTCTCCCACTTCTTGGCCATGCGCTCGCTCTACTTGTGAGCTGGTATGCACCAGTCATAGAATCAGCCGGGTTGGAAGAGACCTCAAAGATCATCGAGTCCAACCCTACCATCGTTACTAGACCATGGCACTAAGTGCCACATCCAGTCTCATCTTGAAAACCTCCAGGGATAGTGAATCCACCACCTCCCCGGTCAGCCCATTCCAATGCCTGACTCTCTGTAAAAAATTTCTTACCTAAACCTCCCCTGGCAGAGCTTGAGTCTGTGCCCTCTTGTCCTACTGCTAGTCATCTGCGAGAAGAGACCAACCCCCGCCTGACTCCAACCTCCTGTCAGGCAGTTGTAGGGGGTGATAAGGTCTCCCCTGAGCCTCCTCTTCTCCAGGCTAAACAACCCCAGCTCCTTCAGCCTCTCCTCATGGCACTTGTGCTCCAATCACTTCACCAGCCTCGTTGCTCTTCTCTGGACCCACTCCAGCCCTTCAATATCCTTCCTGAACGGAGGGGCCCAGAACTGCACACAGTACTCAAGGTGTGGCCTCACCAGCACCGAGTACAGGGGCAGAATGACCTGTCTGGTCCTCTTGACCACTTCACTGAGAGGCCTTGCTTTGCCTTCTGGCCAGACTGCATTCTGTGCTCTGCTAGAAGCTCAGTGCATCCACTCTGCAAGAAACTCCCAGTTTGGGCTTCAGTGCACTGACTAGAGGGGCTCTGGTGGACATTTAAATCCAGAGTCAGCAGATTTGTGGGTTCCAGACAGTGAGGACAAGCAGACAGATCCTGAGATACTCTGCTCAGCTATGGGAGTTAGTCCCATTTGCACTGCACCCTGTGAACACAGCTTAGTCCTTGATAAATTTGCAGAAGATCCTTTACAAATGTTTGTGAAAATAAAATGAGGTTCTGAGTGAGTCTATGGCAGGAAGTATCATCTAGTTTTAGATCTAAGGGTAGAGAACATCTCAGTCTTGAAAGTGTTAAATTTTTGGGTGATGAGTTAAGCTATGTTACCAAGATAGATCTTTACTGTATAGATTATGAATATACTCAGAGAAAATAATACAATTTCTCATACAAGAGACACCAATGACCTTTGCAGATGAAAGGTAAATGATATTAAAGTTGAATTCCTGGCAAAAATACATTGCAATTCTGACCCTTTGTTTAAGATTATTATTACTTAAGAAGATGCTTAGGAGACCAGTTTGGCCAACTCTCTTATAAATGCAAAGCTTTGCCTCAGCTCATATTGGTGCCCAAGAGGCCTCATTCTTATTGTTTATGGAATTAATTATCTGATGTTCAGTGTTCTGTATTAAATATTAACATTTCTGTTAATAATATATATACTTTCTTCTGAGTCATCTCAGTTGTGCCCAAGTCTCTTTCAGCAATAAATATCTAAGAGACAGGGATGTCTTCATCTCAGAAAAGTTGCTAGTGTCTTATTTGAGAGGTGGAGCCAACAACTGCTCCTAGTGCATTCAGGAAAGCTGCTTCACAGCCCCTTTTGCTTCAACACAGAGCCTGGTCACTGTTTGAACTATTTGGTCTCTCTAAGTAAATACTGTAAAGAAAGGTTTGAGATATTTTATAGCATTCTTAATATGTTTGGTATATTGGTAAAAGGATTGTGCAGAAGAGAGAGGCATGAAATGGACAAAATATTATACAAAGGGGAGAAAATTCTTACAGATTTTTTTTTCAGTTAACTACTCTGAAAGATCTTTTAAATACAGGTCTTCCATAGATCCATTTTATTTGAAATCACTGAAATAGATTTTCATCAGATAAGAGTGTAATATCAGACCCATACAAAATGTCAAAAACTTAAAAGAAATGAAGAAAATGTTCAAATACATTTGCAGACTAAATCAGAAGTTCTGGCACTCAGGTCCCTGTGGTGGGATGAGCAGTCACACACTGATAGTATTCCTTGTTTTCAACTACTAAACCACATTCAATCTTCTCTTAATGCTTTTCTTTTGTTCACCTGTGTCATTACTAAAGTTGCCACAGGGGCATTCTGTGATCATGAGTGGTGGTGAGGTGCTCTAAGCAGTAGCTACAGAAGTGCAGATGAGGAAAAATACACTTTCGCTTAAACATCATCTCCTTTAGGGGAAAATCAGCTGTTGTGTTAAATCCTGTTAAATGTTATGTGATCATCTAAGACGCACACAGGGACCATTGAGGAAAACTCATGGTGTACGAACAGCAACTGCTTGTACGTAGATAACAAACGTTTTCAAGTCACGTTTGTTGAGGCATCTCTCCCTACCTTTTGGCCCTTGTGTGGATGGACAACTCACTCAAGACCTCCAGATATAGGAAATGCTGTTTTATTCCTTCTGTCAGGCTAATACATCAAAATAAGTAGTTGATGCATTCTGTATTAGTTTATCTTATCGAGAAAGGTACGATTCTCTGGCTCAGAAGTGTCACTCTGGTATGCAGGAAGTAATGGCTTTTTCCTATCCTTGCCCACTATTTCTGGACAGAGTTGGTTTTGCAGAAGACTGTGAGCTCTTCAGGGTGAGATGGTACATCTTCTCCTTTGCGAAACAGTATGATTGTCTTGTGGAGCACAAGCAAGATAATATTCTCAGATTTTTAGGAAATGTATTCTTGCCCATTTCCATTGTTTCTTTTCAGCTGATATTTGGTCTATCAGAAATTTGTCTGTGCTTGTTTATCATGTATTATACTTTCTGAAAGCAATAGATGTAGAGTCTTAACAACAGAAAAGATCCTCTCATGCAAGGCAAAATGTAACAATCATTCAAAACCTTTCCTTGTTTTTGTAGGACGAGGCTGCTCCAGCTGACAAGCAGTACAAACAGGAGCCAGCCCAGGTCACTTACTCAACATCAGCTGTTTCCAGCACACAGGAGGTGTTGTACATCAATGGCAATGGGACCTACAGTTACCATAGTTACAGAGGGCTCGGAGGTGGGCTGCTAAATCTCAATGATGCTTCTAGCAGTGGTGAGTTTCCTTACAAAATGTGCCTCTGTGTGTATGTGCTCATGTGTATGTTTCCCCCTGCTGTACAAAAAGCTAGTCCAAAGGGCTCGATATCCATAGGCTATTATCACATAATGAGCAGGAACACAATCCTGCAAACAGCTACTGCTGAGCAAAATACTTGCTCACTGCATGCTAGTCTCCTTTCAGTTTCAAGGGACTAATACACAATAGGGCAAGAATGAACCCGAAGTCTCTAACAAAGCAAAGTAAAAAAATGCCAGGTTAGATCTTCAGTCCATTTGCTTGACTTTATGAGGACCTACCCTGACATTATTGCCCTCTTCTATACTGATCACAAAATGAGGCCGTTACTATCTTTTTTGGCTCGAGTTTGAGAACACTGAGTTCCATATTGTGCTACACAAATGAATTGACCTAGATTTCTCACACGGTCTCACCAGCTACTTTGATTTACGCAGATAAGGATCTGGCATACCAAGTGTTAAATGAGAAATCATCATATCCATTTATACACTAAATTAAAAATGATGCAGGTAAATATATGTCAGCATGGGGTTGTATGTCCCTCTGAAAAAAACAGTGGAGTCATTTATTTAGACAACATTCCTTTCTTCTTATATTGGCAACCTTTTGTTACAAATGTAAGCAAATTGTAGTATTTGTTTGAAATAGTCCCTCATACTGATTTCACACAAATTCAGGGCAAAACCCTCCTGACAAGAAGGGTGTTGTCTCTCTGTCAGAGAAAACTGAGAACTCTGGAAGCCTGAGAGTCTATTGCCTTCCAGAACTCTATTTAAAGAAATGTCTCAGAGGATGGAGAAATCCCTGGGGGGTTGCCCTGGCTGATCCCTCTCTGGCTGAAGAGAGTGCTGCTTCAGGTAGATGGGCTGACTTAGGCAAGATGGTAATTGTTCTGCTACAGCTTCTATATTGAGCATGCTCAGCAGTTTTCAAAATGCTACCAAGACTGCAGCCTTCAAGGAGTTATTGGTATGTGGTGTCCTGGGGACCCTCAGTCATGTCTGCTTTCTCACCCTCCACTCCCAAGATTCTATGAGTGATTTTCTTTAAGTTTCCAAAAGGCTTTAGAAAGATAATATTTTAGTTGTCAAAAGACTTCGACTTAAAGAGAGTGAATTGTGATTACAGTTGTTTCCATAGACATGAGAACCACATCTGAGGTACTGAATGTGGTCTCTGATCAAATGTTTTCATAAGAGTAAGACAGACTATGGAAATCTGGGTTGTTTTTTTTTTTTTTTGTGGAAATGCACAAGAACTTTAAAATTGTCTTTTAAATTGTGACCGTAGAGGATCCAAGCCAGTTCCCACTGAAAACAGTCAGCATTTGCTCTTTTACGCAACTAAGAGTAGGATTAAACTCCCCATGTGTTATTTGTCAGCAGAAGCCATCAGTATTGTCCTGGTTTATATAACCTTAAACTGTGAGGAATCACAACTGTTTTGTATACTTGTTTTTCCCTTCAAAACTCTTGTAATAGGATACTTTTCATGACTACCATTTTTCAGTGAATTGTGGGATTTAGGCAAAAGTACTCTGTGTCCCTTCAGCATGCAATTTTTAAAAATGACATAGAAATTAAACACCATAAATTAGTGATGCTTTCATATTAGAAGCAACATTTTCTTTGTGTCTTTAACATAGAGGACTCCAGTGTTTTTTCACATTTAAAGCTCAAGATAGGTTTGCAGAAAGACATAGGCTCAAACCCTTCTTCT